TTGTGGTTATTGGGTTGGCTTGTTTGTGGCAGGGAATGGGAAAAAGAAAGAGAAGGTTAATGGAGGCCAAAGGGTTTGGGTGGGAGGGCCATGACTTGGGGGCATATGTTATTTCTGAGGAAGATAATAGATTTGTGGAGGCCCTGAGGGAAGTTCAGCCTTATATTTTCTTAAACAGAGGCAGAACTTTTGTTGTGGCCATAGCTGGGGAGATTGTTGATATACCTATTTACTTCGATGCCCTACTGCAGGTACTCTCTCTCTCTCTCTCTCTCTCTCAACTTGTCTTACAGCTTATTATTAGGATCCGTCGGTCGGTGCATAATAAGCTTCTTTTTTATTAGCATTCATGAGATGATAAACGTGGATATGTGGGTCATAACAAAATTACATACTTTTACGTGAATTGATAAACGTGGATTAATAACACTACGTTGTAACTGTAACACTAAAAACTCTTTCAAATTATTAAGTGACATTTAAACATGTGACCGTTGAGTTCAACACGTTAATAGTATTTCATAAACTCTTTTTGCCCCATTCATGACGATCAAAACACAAGACTTATTTCCTCCTCAAATTTTTTAAAATTTCCTCTTGCTAACATCAATTGATAATAAGAACGTCCTAACCTATAGACACATGAAGCACCATGGGTACCGCGGCTTATCCTTCATCCTTAAGCCAAAACAATTAACAACTTGCAATTTAATTAACTTGTGCCAAAAAGTCAGAGCTGGATCAATTCTAAAGAAATACACAACAAGAACACAGGTAGGTAAGACAAATTTGATGCTTGCATTTCCTATGGCTATAGGGTTGCTGCAATTGGTTCTATGTCATGTCTAAAAACAGTCATACAATGATAAAATATCGATAAAAGTAGTATTAATTTCTTATCCTAATTGGTGATGAAACGACCTTATTGGAGAGATCAAAATTAACAATTTTCTTAACTTTCTTTGGTCGAAAAAGAGATTTCATATCTGCCTAAAGGCCAAAGATGCAACAAGGGAAGCCCAAAGGCTAAGTACAACAAGATATAATTTTGAACCAAAAGAATAAAAAATAATAAAAATTGTTGACAAATATCTCTCATGAATCAACTGTTGTATTTTCATTAGTGAATTTATATATCGGATATCCTCTGTGGGAGCACAAAAATTCTTCTATACGATAAAAGAAAGCTCTTGAAACTAAAATTTTATACTTAATTCCACAAGTGTTGCTATTTGTACCACATTAAGTGAAAATGTAAGAAGCACCATCACTCAAATATAAACAATTTTCTTAACTTTCTTTGGTCGAAAAAAAGATTTCATATCTGCCTAAAGGCTACGATGCAACAAGGGAAGCCCAAAGTGACACATCTCGAGATCGGCTCCGCCGTAGCATGATATTATCCGCTTTGAGCCCCCTCTCTGATCTCACGGTTTTGTTTATGGAAACTCACGAGCAACTTTCCAGTGGGTCACCCATCCTGGGATTGCTCTGGCTCCAACTTGCTTAACTTCGGAGTTCCTATGACTTCGAAGTCAATGAGCTCCCAAAAGGCCTCATGCTAGATGGAGGCGGGCATGTACATACAAGGCACATCACCCCCTCTCCGTTGGTCAATGTGGGATGTTACACAAAGGCCAATTACAACAAGAGATCTCATAATCAAATGACTATCTGAGGAAGCAAAGATTTAACAAAGATGAATCTTGCGTTAGATATATCAGGGTTTTTCTTGTTTCTCCTTTTTCTCCAATCAAACAACCACTTGGATATGTGAACAAAATTGAGGTGATTGTTGTGGTCCCTCCGCGTGATACATCCATGTCACCAACCAAAGGCACAACTTTTTTAAATCACCTGTCCTATGAGGTACTGTTACTAAATATATACTCTAGTTTGAAGCTTTCTTGTAATGTGAGAAGAACTTACATGTAAAAAGATGTCGTTGTGTCGATATTTCAAGCAAACGTATTGTCATGTGAGAAAGTTAAAACTTATGATAGTGAGTGATTAGTTTGAAATAAGATGTCATTGTGGCGATATCTCAAGTCAATCACGCATTGTCATGTGAGAAAGTTAAAACTTATGATAATAATGAGTGATTAATTTGAAATACCGACACAATGATATATATTTTCGATGTGGCTAAGTATTTTCTCCTACAATGAAGGCCAAATGTAGTGACACATTCTCATGGCGTATATTTAATATGTCATGCATACCAATGAGGTCACATATAGTGCTGCTGGTCATAAACTTCGAAACAAATCTTTAGACAAGAAAAATCCCATGTAGACCTGACAGCTTGATGGAAATTACAGAAATGTCATGCAGAGCCTTCCCTTTCATCTTTGATCATAAAATAGTCGAGACGCATCTAACAAGTTCTCAGAAGATAGATTCTTAGGACTTCCCAGAGAATAACTATTTATGAAAATTATATATATATATATATATATATATAGAGGCGGCACCTTCGTGGTGATCATATCGGGTGAAATGGTGTCTAGCCCTCACTTGGGCCCAATTCTCAAGGCAGGTCCTCTGCCTTTCGTAATTTTCTCTTTAACTGTTTGGTTGCTGAGAAAATGCAACAAACAATGTCAATCGTGGGAAATTAACATCTTTTTATTTCATCTCTATTGTTAGACTAGCGAGCCGCCTTTTCGTTGAAGCAAACGTCTTTTTTGTTATGATTTTCCCTTGCAATCGCTATCGTATATTTATCTATATATTGGGTTTTGTACAGGATATAGCTTTTCTCCATCACCTGGGGATCAGGTTTGTTCTTGTGCCAGGGACCCATGTGCAAATTGATGAACTTTTAGCTGAGAGAGGTGAGTGTTTTATTGTATGCGTTTCTTCTTACTGTATATTCTCAATAAGCATGATATCCTAGAGTGGAGCACAAGATGTAATTTTGTTAGTTTGTTAAAATTCTTTATGTCCTTGGAATTATTGGTATTATTTTTTGGTTTGGGCTTTGGGAGGAGAAGACTGAGTTCTGACTGTGTACTGTAATTATTGGTATTTTTTTGTTAAGCCATTTGAAGTGCTATAAGGCTGCAACTAAGCAGGTACATGTTAGTTGTTACTTGTTGCAGGAAAGAAGCCAAAGTTTGTTGGTCCGTACAGGGTGACTGACTCAGACTCTCTAACAGCTGCGAAGGAAGCGGCTGGGGCGATATCTGTGATGATAGAGGCAAAGCTTTCTCCAGGACCCTCCATATGCAATATTCGTCGACATGGTGACAGTAGTCGATTGCATGAAGTTGGTGTCAGTGTAGAGAGTGGTAACTTTCTTGCAGCCAAGGTAAGAATGTTACTCTTTCAAAGGCAACATTAATTACTCAGTTGTCTGCTTGAGTTTCGATTGTTACCAAATTCTTGAAAGTATTGCTGTTGTTTTGTTTTGCAGAGAAGAGGAGTCGTTGCAGGCGTTGATTATGGGGCAACAGGCGAAGTCAAGAAAGTTGATGTTTCTCGCATGCGTAAGAGGCTCAATGATGATTGTATTGTGATTTTGAGCAACCTGGGTTATTCCAGCTCTGGAGAAGTTTTAAATTGCAAGTATGCTATATAGACACAACTTCTAATATTTTTTGGTCTCTCAAATAAAAAGTTTACACAATGCTTATTATCCGGTGGGTTTATTATTATCTGCTCCAATTATTCTTATATATAGTGTAGTGCGTAGTAGCTGATGATTTATGCTTTTATGAATTTCAGCACATATGAAGTTGCAACAGCTTGTGCCTTGGCTATCGAAGCAGATAAACTTATCTGCATAATAGATGGCCCAATTCTTGATGAGAGTGGACGCCTTATTCGCTTCTTGACTCTTGAAGAAGCAGACATGTTGATTCGTAGGCGTGCTAAGCAAAGTGAGATAGCAGCTAGTTATGTGAAAGCTGTTGATGAAGAAAATTTGTCTTTGCTTGGACATGATGATCCTAATGCTACTAAACAGAATGGAAATGCTCTCAAAGGAAAGTACACCACAACGTTTCACAATGGTGTTGGCTTTGACAATGGGAATGGCTTGTGGTCGGGTGAACAAGGTTTTGCTATTGGAGGTCATGAGCGGCAAAGTCGATTAAATGGTTACCTTTCCGAATTGGCTGCTGCAGCCTTTGTTTGCAGGGTAAGCCCAGAATATACCCCCTTTTTGTTTCTGGTTTATGAACTTCACTAACTATGATTGTTGAAGGAATTTTTTCCCCAAAAACGTTCTTGGAGTTGTAAGGATGTTTTACTTATGTTTTTTTGCCTCTATTTGGCTAAATTGCAATCTAATCAAAAGTTGAGAGGTTTCAGAGCTTACTTTTGATACAGTTATATATAATATTATATTATATTTCAAAATCCAAATTTTGAATCACATGAGCTTTTCCGATGCAAGTCAACAAAATTGACCAATTGCTGATTTACATTTCAATATGTGCGTGCACACATATAACTATGAGAAATCTCAGGTCTAAGGAGACCACATCACATAATCTGTGCCTGCATAGTTTGAAGTTTCAGCTGCTTTATGTGTTGAGTCTCAAGAACTCAGACAATGGTAGTTTCTGATTTATTTCCAGGGAGGTGTTCAAAGAGTTCATCTGTTAGATGGCACTAAAGGGGGAGTTTTATTGTTGGAATTGTTTAAAAGAGATGGAATGGGGACTATGGTGGCTAGGTATGCTATTTTTTGCAGTAAATGTCTCCAAATTTTTGTAGTAAATGTCTCCGAATTTTTGTATACTTTGGTGGCTTTCTGATGTCAGATGCTGATCAACTATATGGTGATGATAAGCTATGCTGAGAGTCCCCTGATTGCTACGCTTTTTATCCTTGATGTGATTATCTTCTATTTACATTTTCCTGGTTGATGCTTATTTCTAATTTTGTGCCTGGTCAGCATTTTAGTGGAATTCCAAGTGGCATTCTTCAAATCACGCTACAGTTATAAAGTCATTTGGTAGAACTGTACGAGTTATTAGATCCCATTTTGGTCTCATCTGACTTGGTTTGGGCATAAAGTTTAAGTAGTAACCATTCCTGGATTTATATTTATCTTTTGTATCTGCAAATCACTAGTTCAAGCATTTTTTTGTGCCAAAGAATTCTCATCATCATGGCTAATCGTGCTAGGATTGGATACTAGGTATATGGGGCTAGCTTCTTGGTTTCAATTAAAGTCTAGCTTCAAGAATGACTTTACAACAATTATGAAGGATAAAAAGTTATAGTTCTAAATATGCATAAGTTTTCCTCCATCTATCCACTCACTTGTGCATTAAATGTTATTTTTAGTGACCTTTATGAAGGAACCCGGATGGCGAGGGTATCAGACCTCTCTGGAATAAGACAAATTATACTACCTTTAGAAGCATCTGGCACATTGGTTCCGAGAAGTGATGAAGAGGTTTGAATTGAAAACTGATCAGGATTCTTTTTGTAATGTTTTCTTAAATTGAACTGAATTTTATGCATTCATTTTTATTTGTTCGATAGCTACTTCAAGCTTTGGATTCCTTCATTGTGGTGGAAAGAGAAGGCCAGATCATTGCATGTGCTGCTCTTTTTCCTTTCCAAGAGGATAGATGTGCAGAGCTTGCTGCTATTGCAGTTTCTCCTGATTGTCGCGGTCAAGGGCAGGGAGATAAGTTACTCGGTAACATACTGTGCAAACTTGAATAAGCATGGATATAGCTATGCACTTGTTCCTTTTGTTTTTTCTTTCTATAATTTTAATGCACGTCTATGTGAACTTTTTGAAAGGGTTTAATTTATTAACAATAGCTGCAAAATATGCATTTGTTCTCTTCCTCACTGATGCGCCTCAAATGATTCTACTGTTCTTACGGGAAAATAAAATGATTTTACCGTTTCTGAAAAGTTCCACCTTTTTTTTGGTTGCGATATAATATATTCCTCAAAAGTTGCACTGCATATTGAAATAGATTTACATAAATAGGATGAAATATCAGTAACAGTTCAGGGCACACATCTCTGGCCTCAGCTACATATCATCTTTTCTTTTTCTGTTTTGCTACTGAACATCTTGGATTCATTTACTCCAAGATGTTTTGCAACTGAAATTTGGAACCCAATTGAAAAAAAGAAAAAAAAAAAAAATTTGACATAATGCCAATTGACCACGGTCATTCCCAGTAAGAGGTTCTGCTGAGTTCGTGTTAAATACGAATTCTTTGTTTATTTTAATTATTTGTATATCTACCAACTGTATTCTCCTTACATGTGCACTCCATAATTTCTTAGAATTTTAATATCTGCAGATTACATTGAGAAGAAGGCATCTTCTCTTGGATTGGCGAAGCTTTTCTTGCTTACAACCCGCACTGCAGATTGGTTAGTTCCTACTACTTGAAATACATGCTATATATGCTCATGGATAGTTCACTAGTTAATGGAGGATCGTTGCAGATTCTTTTATATGGAGGGAAAAAAAAACTGTAATGTAGTTCAGGTTTTTGGTTGGGGAATCAGTCCCATTTGTTGTAGTTATGTGGATGGTTAAAACTTACTTAGGTTTGTAGCCAGGAAGTCATCATCTGTGGACACAAATTGTGGAGGGTTAGAGATGGCTAGTGTACATATTTCTTGGGGTTTATAGTGGTGCTTTATGTCCATTTTCTTTATTTATTTTTTAAAGAAAAATAAAGGTTCAATGATCAGTATTGAAGAATGACGCCTGTTGTTTGTCACACAGGTTTGTGAGACGCGGTTTTTCAGAATGTTCAATTGAATCGATACCAGAGAAGCGTCAGAGGAAAATTAATCTGTCTCGTAAATCCAAGTATTATTCGAAGCAGTTGTTACCTGATACCAGCGGAATTACTGTTAATAGGGCGTTCACTTGAGGTTAAAAATGATGCTGGCAACTTCCCCTCAGGGGGTTAGCAGCTGAATTATTGAAGTGTTTTTGAGTTGCGAGTTTTGTATCTTGACTAGAAGTCCGGAATAATTTAATAGGGCGTTCACTTGAGGTTAAAAATGATGCTGGCAACTTCCCCTCAGGGGGTTAGCAGCTGAATTATTGAAGTGTTTTTGAGTTGCGAGTTTTGTATCTTGACTAGAAGTCCGGAATAATTTAATAGGGCGTTCACTTGAGGTTAAAAATGATGCTGGCAACTTCCCCTCAGGGGGTTAGCAGCTGAATTATTGAAGTGTTTTTGAGTTGCGAGTTTTGTATCTTGACTAGAAGTCCGGAATAATTTAATAGGGCGTTCACTTGAGGTTAAAAATGATGCTGGCAACTTCCCCTCAGGGGGTTAGCAGCTGAATTATTGAAGTGTTTTTGAGTTGCGAGTTTTGTATCTTGACTAGAAGTCCGGAATAATTTAATAGGGCGTTCACTTGAGGTTAAAAATGATGTTGGCAACTTCCCCTCAGGGGGTTAGCAGCTGAATTATGGAAGTGTTTTTGAGTTGCTAGTTTTGTATCTTGACTAGAAGTCTGGAATAATGCAAAATATGATTTATCCTAATTGTTTATATTAAAAACGGAAAAAAGAGGCAGTGGGTTTGTGGGGTTATTCGTGCTTCTGATGGGGATTGGGTCAGTGTGTTTGTTGCGAACCTAGGGAAGGGACAGATCCTGGAGGCTGAAGTTTGGGGGGGTTTTTTTGGGTTGAAGCGTGCGATTGACAAAGGTATTAGAAACCTTGTGGTAGAAATGGATTCTGCTATGTTGTTCACTTTATTCAGAAGCCTTCTTTGCTTGCTCATCATCCCCTTGCTGCTCTTCTCTCTAGTTGTTGTGAGATGATGAACCAGATTGGTAATTGCTCAATCTTCCATGTTTACAGAGAGAAGAATGGGGTAGCTGATTATTTAGTCAACTGGAGTTATAATTTCGATTTGGGGCTTTGTGCGTTGGAGTCTGCTCCTACTTGGATTGTTTCAAAACTTGTTGATGACTTGCTGCTGTCCCTAGAACTCGGATGGTTTGTTTAAACCATTCTGAGTAGTTTGTTTTGTTTGGGGTTTTATCTCCCCCATTTCACCAAATAAAAAACGGAAAACAGAGAGTTGGATTTGATTCATTATAAAGCTGCTGCTCTAACTCGAATCTGGAAAAAATCAGAGGTGCCATATTTTCTTTGTTGAGGATAGTCTGGCTACGTGGATATTGTTTGTACCATTTTAGGTTAGTCATGTAGCAAGAGGCATCGAAGCAAGTACATTTCTTTGTTTCTGTCTAGTCTTAATTATTTCTCACCAGTAAAACGGTAAAACTTATTATATGGTATTAGAACGCGACTAAAACGGGAAATTTTTTTATGCGGTATTTGGAACACTGTCACATGGTATAATGATAAATAAATAGGCAAAAGCGAGGGAAATGACAGAATTTTGAACTGCACCACCACATTGTAAGCAAAGCTATCCATTCTAACGCATTTCTCAAATGGGGCTGGAAGATACATAAAGGGAATACAATGAAATACGATGCAGGAATACGAAAATTGTATAATAAAAAAACAATCGATGGATGCAGGGAATACATATGTAACGTCATCTAACAGGCAGAGATACTTTACAGCATGAATCCCGTTTATTATCATAATCAAAGAGTTTCATTTGGATCAAGTGACTTGTTCAATGAAATATGACAGAGGAAACTGCAAGTTCTGTTGCACAATTTCCCTCTTGAGACAGAACCAAGAAACAAAACCATCGAAACAAAATCAAGCCTCCTCAGTTTTAGGGAGGCCCTTAAACTTGAAGTTGTCTGCATATGCCTTCACCTGAAACATGAAATACGGTTAGATACTTTCTTAAATTCAAGGGAGAAAAAATAAACCAAATTATTATATAGAAAATAATCATTTTGTGCATAAAACATTCCAAGAATGCAAAAGGGAATTTTTAAAAAAAAGCCCTAGTAGAAGATAAAAAATATCTTGAGGAAGCTGGTCACCAACTAAGAAAATTTCCATCTCAAGGACAGGAAACTCCTCATTACTCCATTTTTTCCTTGACATATTCCGCAAAAAGAGGGAAGTAGCCAATTTCCAACTACTAAACTTGCAATGGACTACACCACTCACATTTCTGTCAATGCCATCAGAAAAAAATTATCTACTATTCCATACACAAAGCTTGTGCCAAACAAGTTTGATCTGTTTGGCCAAGAAGGTAACCATGGCATGAATTGGCAGAAAGAAAATGAGAGAGAACTGTACAACTTCAATTAAACATTTCGTTTAGGAAAATGATCACTTAAGGTCGCTAAAAATCAACGGAGTCAGAAACTAAAATTTTTTACACAGGTCCTTCAGGAAAAAGCTAAAAACGAAAAAGAAGGAAAATGAAAAGAAACTGTTATCGCATGAGAGGGGAAATAGCTTCAGAAAATATGAAGAAAGAATCACATACCCTCAATAATGGCGTTTGCTGCTTTTTAACCTACAGATGAGTTCAAGAACCGTAGTTAATAAGTCAGAGGGAAGTCAAAGTTTAAAATTTAGAGATAAAAGAACTTGCCCCCATCATGAAAAAAATGATATGTTCTGAAAGTAAACTAACAGTTACAGTGCTACTAGTCTTCTCCAATAACAAGATATGCAAGCACAAAACCATTTAGAGCTGGAAGGTAATATCTGTAATTGACTGGATATATCATATATGCCTAGCTCTTTTTCCCCCTTTTGGAGGATGAATATATGCCTAAGTTCTCAAGAATCGAAACGAAGGCCTAAAATGGTCAGTTTCTGTTTGTGTTATACTAAAAATAACTCGGACAAAGTGAGGACAACTGCATGAAAGTCAAGCACAAGCTGGGAAAAACTACAAAATATATTTAAGTCAAAAGACAAGGAAATTCATTTAAAGCAGCATAAAGAAAACAAATAATACATACCACGTAATCCCAACCATGTCTCTCTGCAAAGGACTTTGCAGCTTCTTCGCTGTCAAAACCCAGTGTTGAATCGCCAACATGGGCATATGGGTCACCAGTTGAAGTCCAGCCCATCAATGGATTCTCCCACCTACGAACATATCATGAAGAGGAGCTATTAATCATCTAATTGTGGTAACAAAATAATCATTGAATAATTAAGTGAGAACAAAAATAAGTTTATTTCAAGGCTTGACTGCGAGAAGACTTGAAATATCAGAGTCCAAGAAAGACACCACCTAGCTAAAGCAACACAATTTTCAGGTTTTACAGTAGGACTGCTCACAAAAGGTTCAAATTTTGAAAGAAGTGTTATCAATGAACATAAATTCACTGATAATCTGAAAATCATTAGCTGGTTATTATTGTAATTTATGCTTTATAAAAAAATAAGTAGCTTGGTTTGATATTAAATTTAACAAGATTAGTTTAAGTCTTGTCAAGGTGCACAATTCAACATGAAACCATTAGCATAAGTATCACTTCCAACGCAAATTCACATTGTTCAGCGAAAAATCCTGGTGCACAATATTACACTCAGTAGAAACTACATAATATAAAACCTATCTACCCACTATGAAAAGATACAACCCAGAAAACTATTATAATCAAAAGCAAATCCAAAGTCTATAACCATGAACACAAATCTCTTTCATTAGGAACTATAACAATGAAAAAAGCCATACTTTTGTGTGGACACAAAGTTGATTTTCCACTTCCCAACTTTCCCTGATCCTTGCTGACTCGCAGTTCTTGCAGGTGAATATATTACAACCTGTCATGTATGCCCACAAACGAATAAATTCACAGCCATGATCAATTTAAAGTAGAAAAATACTTGGTAACCATGTAAAGCTTGTGGCTTTCAATAAAAAATAACAAACAAAAAGTCCAAGCCTCAAAATTTGCTATTTTCATACAAACTAATGAAATGGACATATGCCCGGTGCCCTAAGTCGATTGATAAACCAAAACTTCAATTGGGTTATGTGCTCCCGTTGAGAAATTACTTGAAAATTATGAAAATAATCCAAATTGAATTTCAGAATGAAAACGAAAAGGAACGTACCCTCCTGCGAAGATGCTCGTCTGGAATGCCAGAGACCTTCCCGATCTCGCCGGGCATGTACTCAACCAAAGCGTCGGCCGAGAATGGTCTGGACCCTGAGGCAACCGATGTTCGGAGAAGACGAGCATGGCTCGATAAGCGTTGCAGAGAGCTCGCCATCGCCAGTTAAACGAATCTAACGGAAGAACCAAACTCGCGCGCCCTGTGAAATGTAAAATGGCAGCTGAACAACGAACACAAAAATGAAAATAGAATGTTTTATTGACAGTGTTGTGTTGTCTTTCAACTATTTTGATAAAAATTGCTGCTTCACTCCTCTAGTTTTCAGTATACAGAAACTACCCATAGCTTTATTGAATGGTTGTATTTATGGGTACCCCAACATTATTTTGAAAATGCTTGTGCCATGTTTGTGACTGTTTTTTCACAACTAAAAGCCTAGTATTTGATAGAAAACTTATAAGTGCTTAAGAATTACAAAAGGTTTTTTTGGATTTAATAAAAATTTCAACATTTTTCTAATTAAAGCGCTTCTTAAAAAGGCACATACGAGCATGAGTGTTTTTATAAAATATTCTCTCATTCTTACAACTTTATATGGCCCAATAACATTACATTTACAACTTATTTTGACCAAATTTATTGGGTTCCTATTTTTCAAAAACAATTTAACTTTTTTATTTATTTATAACTTTTATACACATAACACAAAATTTACATCAGCTAAAATATGAGACTTATGTTTGTCACGTCATCAAATAACAGAAACAGAAATGTAACATTACTACTAAAATATATGCTTGTGTATGACATTGCAATGTCTTAAAGATCATATACCAAACCAAATCAACGCATGGTGCAAACTTGGATGGTGTAAAATGTGATTTGATAAAAGAAATAACACCACACACAAAAAATTATAGGGGTGTAAACCTACACACTGTGGAAACCCGGGGGTCTAAACTTAATTTCCAGAAACTGAAGATCCATTGGTATTCCCTTAGCATTTACCATTTGGTGGGTCCCATCCCCGCAGGTCGTGAGACTTATGTTTGTCACGTCATCAAATAACAGAAATGTAACATTACTACTAAAATATATGCTTGTGTATGACATTGCAATGTCTTAAAGATCATATACCAAACCAAATCAACGCATGGTGCAAACTTGGATGGTGTAAAATGTGATTTGATAAAAGAAATAACACCACACACAAAAAATTATAGGGGTGTAAACCTACACACTGTGGAAACCCGGGGGTCTAAACTTAATTTCCAGAAACTGAAGATCCATTGGTATTCCCTTAGCATTTACCATTTGGTGGGTCCCATCCCCGCAGGTCCGTCTGTCCATCTCTCAAAAGGAAAGGCCGAGGCACACAAATCCAATGGAACTTAACAATTTCTTCTTCTAATATTCATTTTCAGACAATATCTACACTTGAAGAACAAACAAAACAATTTATAAACTCCGCAAAATTCCCAATTTTCGAACTTTCGAATAATTCAATCATTCTCGGTTGCCCACATTTCCGGTCAGCTTCTCAGTAATTTTCTCCGATCCGGTACACCTCTGCTACCCATCTCTCTTTTTTATTTTTAGTTTATGTTTATCTGCGACTTGCCATAATTTCAAATTATAAAATTTCACACTCAATTTATTAAAGGAATGATGAGCTTTCGTTTCTGTTATTTTTGGGTGCAGGATTTGCCGATATGCATTGCCAATTCATTTCATGGATTTGATGTGAATTTGCTTAGGTGAGGGACTTGAAATTGAACTTCATTTACAAATTCAGAATTTCATTTGATTTACACAAAAATAAGAAGATACAATTGAGGATAGCTTAATATGATCAAGTTTTAAGCTTGTAATTGAAATTTTGTTGGATACCCAATTGGAAAATGTGTTTCTTTTTTGTGTGAGTACATTGATAGCTTGTGTGAGCATATATAGGCACTCTCTGAGTCAAAATTTGAACTTGAACATGTGGTGCTTTTTCAAGTAATGGAATATAAGTTAGTGAGGAATTCAATTCAAGGTAACCTAAAGCAGGGCTTTTAAATTTTCTTATTTTGTTTTTTGTTTTCTTTTGAGAGAGGTGAGAGAGGTGAGAGAGAGGGGAGGCGAAATTACGGTGAAATGCTATTTTGTTGGTCTCTTAAGCATTTGATCATCTATGAAGTGCTGACAGGGTGCAGAACTTAACTGGGCAGATATCCTTCTGGAAATATTTTGGACTTTGATTGATGGGTGCTCCTAAGCAGAAGTGGACTGCGGAAGAAGAAGCAGCTCTTAAAGCTGGAGTACTTAAACACGGGGCAGGCAAATGGCGCACAATACTCACAGATCCAGAGTTCAATTCTATCTTGCATCTGCGTTCAAATGTTGATCTCAAGGTATCCATTTTCAAAGCTTTAGCTTCGCGGATGTTGTCAAGCTACTATAGAAGAAAATAGGATTGGAGGGTTTATTATTTGATCTGGTTAAGTGCTTCTGTTTGTTGCACCCTAAAACTGTACTTTACAGCTTCACGCTTGATTTGGTTGCCAATATTAGATTTTGTATTTTTGTTTATTCATGTTTGTAGTTGTTTCCTTGGATAGGACAAGTGGAGAAATATAAATGTGACCGCAATATGGGGGTCTAGACAGAAGGCTAAGCTTGCACTTAAAAGGAACCTACCAAATCCCAAACATGATAATAACCCTTTGGCCGTGAGCACTGTGATTCAAAGTCATGAAGAAATTGTTGATGCTAAGCCTCTTGCCATATCTGGTGGAAAATTGCAGACTACTGAATCAAAACAACCAATTGCCAGGTTAGATCACCACTGGTTATATGGATATTGTTGACTTTACTTCTTTCATTCTACGACAATAATTGGATCTGAAAACTCTTGAAGTAATTGGATATCGATTAAATAACTGGTTAGCACTAAGTGAAGTATCGATGTGGTTGTTACATGAGGATGTTCCGCATACTATTTTGTGTGGCAATATTATGATTGTGTTAATTCCCCCTACATTTACAAAAATAGATTCCAATAAGAGTCCGTATCTCGTCCTTAATTTAAAATGGCCAAAAATATTATAGTGATGTCATGCTATCATCTTTTTCTTAACATGGTTATTGACTAGTTCTATTGGAAACTCCTCTGGTTGGTTGTAGGTTGGATCACCTTATATTAGAGGCTATTACAAATTTGAAGGAGCTAGGGGGTTCTGACAGAGCTGCCATTGCTATGTACATAGAGGTATATATATACATTTTGTGAATTCTTCGAGCATAGTTTGGGAAAGCTTTCCTCATATTTGCTGTATTATTTATTATTTTGTTTTCAATCTCAACTTACTGGGATTTGAAACTCTTTACATATTCCTTTACATCAATAACTTATTTACTTGATCGTTATCAGTCTTTTAAAATACAATGACAAAATCTCACCCAACTGGACAAATCAATGGAAAACTGGGAGTGTGTGTTGTGTATGTATTTGTTATGTTGCTTTGTTGTCTTTGGAGACATTTTGACGTATCATTTTTAATGTTGTAGGAGCAATATTGGGCGCCTCCAAACCTTAAAAAGCTACTCTCATCAAAATTAAAGCATATGGCAGCCAACGGAAAGCTGATTAAGGTAATTAGTCTCTCAAGTTTAGATATCTTTTAGCACATTTACTGTAGTATGTGTGGACTGGACTGAGATCTTATTTATCTAATTGAATGAAAAAACGCCTGCGAGCTTGCAAATTGGTTCATTTCATTATTTGTTAGCTTTTAAATACTGAAGCTCTATTTAATATGACAGAGATATTTAGGTGATAAGACTGAAAATTACGGATAATTAGGACTTGAGAATATTGGTATGTGTACTAAGGTACTTAATGGGAGAGAAGTTTATGATAAGGAATATATATCTCAGGAATGGATCTTATTTTTTGGTCTGTGTGTTGAAGGTAAAGCATAGATACAGAATTGCACCGAGTTCAGCTTCTTCTGAAAAAAGAAGAAGCTCTTCAATGTTGCTCTTGGAGGGAAAGCAGAAGGATTCTTCAAGAGCAGATAAGAGCAATGTCAACATTCTTACTAAATCTCAAGTGGATGCAGATCTAAGCAAGATGAGAAGCATGACTGCACAAGAGGCTGCTGCTGCTGCTGCCCAGGCTGTTGCAGAAGCAGAAGCTGCCATTGCAGCAGCTGAAGAAGCAGCAAGGGAGGCAGAGGCGGCAGAAGCTGAAGCAGAAGCAGCACAAGTTTTTGCCAAAGCAGCAATGAAAGCATTGAAATGTAGAAGACTTGGTAAAGTTCTCTTGTCCGATTTCACATCATATGTTGACCTTTAACATACAATGTCAATATACTCCATGAGTTTTTCTTTTAAGATGCTATCCTTGCATCCTATGAACTTGAATTTTGAGAGAGCTTGGCCAATATTTGGACACATGCCCCTACGTAAAGGTGGTAGTTGCTCTGTGTAACGTCCCCGCCAATGCTTACTGTGCAGATGGATTTTTCTTCTACTATATATTGTGATTTAAGTTCAAAAATTATATTTTTCATGCTAAAATACTTCAAGATTCATAATTTCTCGCTTATATTATCATATAAGGGATTCATGTCAATCTATATGGAGATTTATTTTGGTAAAGCTTCATCTAATGCTCCTATCCATGCCTTTTTATACTTGTAATTCCTATTGACATCTTTGCAAATTTTTGCAGACCTTGACATGAAACTCGCACATGGGTAACTTCTTTTTGAGCAAGAACTGTGCATGGGATAACGATATGCTGGTGCAGCAATGGCTTCATGTGTCAGTTAGTGTAAATAGGTTGTGTTTGTAAATGCGGGACATGAGAGCTCCATCTGTGAATTTCCTTTTTTACATTTCCAGGTATCATTTTGTACGGAGCTTATTAGGTGTCCTGATATTCAGAATTAAACAATGAGGTAAATGAGTAAAAACTGAAGGAAAGAGAGATTTTGCATGCCAAGGTAGGTAAAAGTACGCTTTGCAATTGTCGCTGTTATTTGATTGAAGAGAAAAAGTGCTTGGGCAAATGTACTTCAATTTTCATGGCCATCTCTCTCTCTCTCTCTCTCTCTCTCTGCATAACATCAAAATAATACACAAGGAAAAAATAACATGAAGTTTAAGTTGTTGACTTTCTTTGGGACGTATTTTGGTATTTACATTAAGAGGCATCGGCGGCAAACGAGACACAGCAGAACCTTAGTAAATACTTTTCCTATATACACAATGACAAAAAGGGGCTAAATTGGAATATGAGTTGCTTACCCCTCTAAAGGGATCTGGCTGAAAAAAAAACCTCAATTTACTTCGGCCCAAGTTGAAAGAGGAAGACTATCCCTTGCTTATTTCCTTCTTTCCTTCCACACTTTCAGTATTTCGGGTGCTGAGGGCAAATCAGAGTCATGAGAATCATCAACATCTTTATAAATCAGTGCTTCAATTTCCTCATCGATTTCTGTTGAGTATTCACCATCTTCATCAGAAATATAATCTGATGACCTAGACACTGTCCTTGTAACAGCATCAACATCTCTTCTGGTGTTAGCGTGATTAACAGAAAATGCATCCAAAGGAACATTGGTACTCTTATCAAGAGGCTCCCTCCTAGGGTTATGGCTACCATCAATCGATTCTAAAGAATGATTTGGCATAATTCCATTACCATAAATTTCCTCATTATCACCATGCAAGGATGATGTTTCTGTGGCTCCACTGCTGAAAGGGGCGGAACTTGAGAAGCCTCTTGATCTGTAAGACTGACAAAGACGAAGCAATGATCTTGATAAATTTAAGACGGTTGCTTCCGATCCTACATCACTATTGTGTAAAGCATCCAACAGTTTCTCTAAGCCATCCTGAGTGATTCTGTCTCCATTTTTCTCGAAAAGGTCTGTCCACTGTCTTTCGCTGACTTGAAATGGAGCATGAGCCATGGCATTGACCAGGGTTACAGCTCTCTTATAATCATGTTGAGCTGTAGCTTGAAATACCATTTCAAGAAAGATCAATGTATGGGGAATTTCTCCAGCTTCCAAACTCATGTCAAATGCATGCTCTAGTAGATAAAACTGCATCAAAACAAACTATGAACTATAATAAGCTCTGCTGACTCATCCTATAAACATTTGTCTACGTATTTTCTTTTTTGTCCCCCAACAGTTATTATATTTACTAAATACCTTACCAAGTTCTTGGCTTTCATTGGAAACAAGGTAATTTAGCGAAAGGATGAACACTATCACTGGACACTAGCAAAAATATTTAACAGATATACTCTTTTGATCCTAAAGAAAGAAAAGGGTTCCAGTACAATACAATAGGTGGATGTAAGAAGAAGAAATAAAAAAACTATTAGCTATATAGTTTACCTTCCCACCTCTGGATGCTTTCACAAGTAGCGATGCATGTTTAGTTTGATCTACTTGATATCCAGATAGAGCCATCTCCTTGTACACATATTCAAAGTATTCCCATTGCAGAGCGCTGGCAGATGCCTTGAGCATTGAGGTATATGTGTACTGATCAGGGGCAACCAAAGTACCACCACCTTCTAGTGAAGAAGCAGACTCAGCTCTAACAGTCTTGATTTCTTCAAACAATTCTTTAGCTTTGAAAAACATATCACTACGTCCAAAGACTTTCAGCATTGTATTTATGGTCCCTATGTTGGGGGCACAATGGTTTTTCATGTGTTTAAATATAGATATGCAACTATCAATATGCCCACCCTCCATGGAAGACGTTATCATGCCTGTGAAAGTGACCTCCAAAGGTTTAGTGTTAGATACATTTTTCATCTTCTCAACCTGCAGGCAGATAGGTCCACCATAAGTACAAATTCCAAAACAGCTAGATAGGTCACGACCTAACATAAAAGAAACTATTTGACCCAAAAATATGGAAACGTCAGTGGCCTAACCTTTGACAATTATCACAACATCCATTACTATCCAAGTTCAGGACAAGAAACAAGTAAATCAAAAGAAACAAAAATACTGAATTCTGTTTTGGACAACTGCAAATTCATGAATAACCTTCAAATAATACAAGTTATCTAATGCCATTTCTTTATGCCAATATCTAGCTCAATAAAGTTTGAACGCCTCACTCCACAAATGAAAACTTGTTAACAAGGTAGACATTGCTTATGATGTAGAACGACATATTTCTAATTAAGCACCAAAAACCTCTCTTTGTAACTCACAAAATGATCACTATTATAAACATACGTCCTTTAATAAGAAAATTAGAAAAAATTGGTTACAGGGGCAAGTACACTTAAGAATATTCAAATTAGGTACACAGGAATAACAAATAAGTCTGACGGGTAGGTTTCCTAGGCAGCTCCTTAACTTAAAATACTAAATGCAACAAAGTCAGCTTAAAGAATGGCCATCAACTATATTCATGACAACTATGTTATAAATTGATTGTCCATGCTTTAATTCTTGATTCTCTGGAGAGCATTGATAGTTGATACAAACATGTATGAGTTGATACAAGCATTGATAGTTGCAATAAATCAACCATATGGCAGGAAGTGAAAAGAAAACAGGACAGGAATGATGCAAGTAACCGAAGACTCTTTACAGATTGAATCAGACATGGTTAGTATACCACACCTAAACAAATCAAGCCAGTCACAGTAGATCCAAACTCCATAGACAAAGACACTTACCTCTACCAGAGCATCCTGCCACCTACCATTGTTGCAAAGGCAGCAAGCTAACTCATAATATACACTGCCTGTTCCAACCACTCCCCTTTGTTCCATATCTCTAATTGCTTCCACAGCTTCGTTGACTTTTCCTTCACACCAAAAAGCTCTGACAAGAACTGGGAAATAGCGTACCGTTATGTAAGAGGGACCAAAAATCATACATCCATCTCAATATGAGATGATATACAAACATAATTACCTTTGTAGTTAAGAGCTTTTGGAGCTTCACCGCTGTTTTTCATTTTCCTGAAGAGCTCGTGCACAAGGTCATACTTTCCAGATTGCAGCATTACCTTCAACAACAAGCACCTAATGTTAGAGTCGAATACAAATATCATTTGAGGACACAAAGATACATGTGTGGCAATATTAGAAAGAAAAAAAAATAGATTAATTATTTTTCAGAAGAAAAAGGATAAGATGAGAATTGAGAATTGAAAAATATCCGTTCAAAGGTGGGTAGCACTAATAAGACCAAAGATCCAGAAAGCAATCTGGAGATGATTTAGTTATGTGCATCGAAGACTCAAGGATGGTCCAATAGAGAAGACTGCAATGGTAGCAAGGGTATGATAACTAGAGAAGTAATGCATGACTTTGGACAGATCCTAGTGGCAGAGGAAACTAAGCTTCTTGAAGTAGGATTCATATAGCTGACCCTAGTTATTTTTGGGATAAAGTTCAGGTTGAGGATCCCAAGTTCCTCATAGCATGTAATTCCAAAGGCACAACGGAATCTTAATTTTAAATTAAGATGATACATCAGTATATAGTTCTTTCACAATTACTTATTTTAGTTTACACCATATATAACACTTTTAGATTGCATTTGGATGTGTGAATTCAAAACAAGGATCTGGATTTGACCACTTAGTTTAAGGTTTAGCGTAATACATATATTTTACTAGCAGTATAACTGATAGGTAATACAAGTATTTTAAATACAAGACTGAAATTTTAATGTTTAATATACTTTCATGGTTTGAACCTCTGAATCATATTGTATTTATATATTCACGAAAGTCATAACAACAAAGACCTATGTTTGAACTATTATGTGTTGAGACATGTTGCAATCCAGGTTATTACCTCCATAGCAAGTCCATAGGTTGCTCCATTAGGTTTCAGACCACTCTTTCTCAACTGGTTAAACACCCAGGATACACCCTTCCACTGATGGGACTGAGCACAAGCATTCAGTAGCTGGCAACCAATTTGAAAGAGAAATAGAATTGCATCAACGTGCGGATTAAAGTATAACAAGGAATGACAATTGAAATACACAAAAATACTCTCTTACAGCATTATACACAATGACATCGGGTTCAACGACAGGGTCCCAGTTCTTGGGGAACATATTTTTATTGCTTCTGAAAGGTTTCTGTCTCATGCTTTCAATAATTTTCAACAATTCCTTCAGAAGACCAGTTTGACCAAGTGTAACCGTAATGCTATGGTAGGCAGCAGCATCAGGATATATGTGGAAATCTCCCTGAATGAAATGCATGTAAGAATTTATCCAACAAAAATTGTATAAACTATCAAGGAGGATTTGAAAATATAAGGTTACAAAAGAACAAGACATCACAAGCATCAGATTGAAAATGTGAAGAGCTTCCTGGGGCCTTCGTGCCTTCCCAAGAATTGCCAAAAGTTTTGTGTAAACAAACCTACAACATGCATCAATTTGTCAACAAGATGAAAAAGAGTAGTTTCAATAGGTCTGTCTAGAATTGTAACTGAGTCAATAGCATTATATCGAGTCACACACCAATATGCACATTAATAAAAAACAAAGTTTTTAAAAAAGTCTGTAGAAAACAGATTATGGAAGCTTTGTTGGTATAGTTCATGGGCCAATAGTTGTTGCCTATATCAAAAGCACTACATTATTGCATCTCATCCTATCCAATATATAATTATAGAATCATCAAAGTTCTACCAAACCATGAAAAACCCACTTGAGTGTACTCTAATCTTACGTTGAGTTTGTGTCTGAATAAAAAACAATGAAGTTTATTGTTTGCTTGAGTGGATTGGATAACAGGTGAAATCCCACTGCCAAACCTTATTCAGTAGCAGCTTTGCTTCTCAATGTGGCTCAGGGCCAAGAGAAGTATTTGCTTTGGAATCAAAGAAATGACAGAAACAAGGGCAAAAAAAACTTTGAGATGTTGAATGACATCATTGGCAAGTATGATAATCAAGTTTCTTTCCACTATTCATTTTTTAGAAATTCCAAGACCCTTTAGTAGTCCAATTTGGGTGACATTTGCCAAACTCCCAAATGGAAACATTTAAATAGTGCTTGAAACATATAACCAAGGTTTTCACCACATAAAAATACCTGCTTTTGCAATGTTTATTGCCCTTATCATTGTATGCCCATTCCACAACAGCCATCGCATGTTTCCAACATCCATTAGCACCGAGCCCTCCAAGAATCTTAAGCATCTGACCCTCAGTGAACTGCAACCCTGATTGTTTCATCATTTTTGAAAGCTTCCAGTCCTTCATGGAAAACTCTGTAGCACTAAGTCTGCACCACAAAACCACCGCCACACACACAACCAACCAAAAAAAAAAACCCAATTTAACAAAAGCCCAGATTGTACAGCCTTCTAAAACCAAAATCCCAATACAAACCTGTCAACCAGAAACTGAATCACCTCGCCCTCGCCGCGTCTCCTCCGCTTAGCAGGGTCCCAGACCCTATTTTCACCATCCAACCAGTCTTCTTTCAGCTCAATATCATCATCCAAGACCCATTTCAAGTCCTCAAGCTTCCGAGCCTCGAACATTTCCCTCAATGCTTTCAGCTCCTCCTTCTTCAGCTTCTCTCCACCATACTCTGCACTCGTACTCGCAAGCTCTCGGAACCCAATTCTCTCAATCCCCTCCCATGGCCGCCCAACCATGGATTCACCGTCACCAGTCTTCGCTTTGACCGCTTTGGTGAAGTCCCTGTACTCGCGCTTGAGAGTATGGAAATGGGTTTCGTCCGCCAAGGCTTGTTTTTGGGACTGAGAGAGAGGTGGAGAGGACGGGTCGGCCTTTGCGAGGAGATTGAGCTTGCGGTTATGCTTTTGAATTTCTTTCTTGCGGATGGTGTGGACTATCTTGGGAGTTGGGTAGACGCCTCCATTGTTGAGCCTGCGTTTGATTTTATCAGTGTCTGGTTCGAATTTGGTATGAGGGAGTTGAGGGAGGGATCCTTGCAGAGCTTCCATGGCTGAAGTTGTGACTCTATGAAAGTGTAGCGAGTTGTGAGCGTTTAGGCGCTAAGGTTTTTGTGAGCGGTTTGGACAGCACCGATGCTTTTTGACCGTTTATACAACATGGCGCCAACTTGGCTTACATGTCAGCAAACAAATGAGTCCACCATGCCACATCACCAGGCTCAGACGGATTCTTTAACGGAGTTGACTGACGTGGCTTAAACGGAGAGTTTTTCAATACCTAAATTGAAATTCGAATCATAATTCGAGGAGCAAAACAATAACTAAGCCATAAGAACTTGTAGCAGAAATGATCCACATTGAGAGTTTATGGTCGTACACTACATATTTTTTTAATTTTTATTTTTCTAGCTAAGCGATATTCTAAACTATTTTAATGTAGGAGAGAATCAAATTTGAATCCATAGTCAACTAACCTAACCCACGTTTACTACTACATAATATATTGTGTTTCTCTACTTAATTTTATATTAAACGTTCGATTTGTTCACCTATTTGACTTAGTGCCATTGTGCCATATAAACATAAGATACTTTTTTGGAGGGTAAATAAGCCCACAGATAAAAACAGAAGAGCAATTCAGTTTTAATTTTTCAGTCCTACTCACGGAAATAGCTTTTGTATTGTTTTATTAATATACATCATTTGTAGCTGGTTTTCCCATGTATCTCTAAACCATTCAAGCAGCCATAGACCGTAGAATACAAATTACAATAAAACTCTGGCAATTTCAATAAAAAATAAAATCCTCTTATCGATGCACATGGTGCGGTTTAACTTTCAACACGCATAAACGAAAATGCTAGTCTCAAACTTCCATGAATTCCAATATGTGAATGGAGGCAGATGCCTGGGGGAGGAGGGGAGACTAAGAGCACCAAAACAACCCCAGAGTCTGCAATTAGAAATGATACAGTAAAATATAGAGTACAACAACAAAAATAATCAGTAAACAAGTTAGACAAGTTGAAGCCCACCAACAACAACCAATCCATACATGAATCCTTTATAAAAATAATTATATCACACACAGATCAAAGGCAGAGAAGCAAACCCTCTAAGCTTTCAGACCAAAAAAAGAAGAAGAAGAAGAAAAACCCTCTCAGCTTTTTGATTTGGAATGCTTTACAAGCCAATCGATAACTGAGTCAATGTTGGTTGAGTTCTTGCATGAGATCATGAAGCAGCAAACTTCTCTATCGGTAATTGACTTCAGTCCCCTGCACAGCACAATTCCATTATCAGTACCAAAACAACATGTCTTCTTTTCCTTTTTGATCGGGAGGTATACGAAAATACATGCCGCAAACAAGTTTAGTGAAAAAGGTTTCAATAACAAAAGCATTATGTGCCTTACATTTCATCAGTCAAAGCCTGTTTACTCAGAGCCCCCGGCTTGTCAATCTTGTTGCCCAGGACCAGCAACGGGATCCCGCTTAGTGAGCTTTTGCTCAGCAAATCATGAAGTTCACTTTTTGAGACGCTCAAGTTATCAGGATCCGCTGCATCAACAACATAACTGCAGCAAACAAGAGGTTGGAAAACTTTTAGTCTTCATAATACAAGGATTATTTCAACTGAATCATTAGTCAATGTATTGTTTTGAGTCTTTTGACACTTGAACTATCGACACACATGAGGCCATTAACCAGAACTTTAGACTATCAGCTAAAGCTTTTGACAAACACAAGAAAAGATTAAATAGTATAACAGCAGTTACAAGCAAGCAACCAACGCAGGAGAGGCAATATTTAAGCATGAGAAAGAAGGAGGCGAAGGGGAAGGAGGGAAGAACGGCAGCAGCAACAAAGACAGCAACCCATTGAAACTCATAACTAGTGACAATATAGTTTAAGCCCACAATTCCCAACAGATATTCGTGACTTCCTTATCATCGTATCACTGCTCATGCTTGACATTATTGAATGAGACATCTAGCGTACTAAACAAGCAATCCGAACTGGTAACACAAAAGAGAACATCAGCTTATAAGAAAATGAAGGTTCGGGGACAAGGTATGCAATTTTAACACAAACATGAAAAAGGCCATCCCATCATCAATCTTTTGATTTGGAAATTTTTTCCACAAATAAAGTTTATGCTCATTTAGAGAGTTCTCCAAAAGTAAAGTCAATTGAGATGGGAAATTGGTTCATACACTATAGCCGAAACGGCACGACAGTATCGCTCCCACATGCTACGGAACCTGGGTTGACCTCCGAGATCCCACAACTTTATCGTAACATTCCCTTTGGTTACCTTCTTCATATTGAATCCTACCTGAAAATTGAATTGCATGACCACACTGTCATTAATTAATTCAATTAATCATAGAAGCTCTTCATAAGTGGTACAAGCATTTGGTGAAAGAACATTGGTTAATTGCAATTACAACTCTTTCGAAAACATTACTCACCGTAGGAATCATGTCTTCGCTGTATCCGCCCGTCTAAGAAAAAAAATCCATTTCAACACATCAGCCCAAACAAGTAGACAACTAGGAAAGAAACATTAATCCAAAGTAATTGTGCTTATTTACTTACTGCAACAACATTTACAAGAGAAGTCTTTCCAGCATTCTGAAGTCCTATCAAAGATAGCTCCATTTCCTGCTTGAAAAAGAGGCTGTAATCACATGCAATAACGTAAGTGTAGGCAGTGTGAATCACTGATACATTGAGGTAAGACAAACAAATTTAAATATAGAACACACAATGTTTCCAGAAATTTATACATAATCGCACAAAAGGGTACGTATATGGAGAGAGAGAGTTTTATACTTATCAAGCATTTGGTAGGTATATAGTGATATTATTCAACGCACATGATATTGCTAAATCCAAAAAAGCTCTAATTTCTATCATTCTGCAACATCAGAAATCCAACTGTCGTTTCCCTATACCAATCCTTTAGCAGCTAAATTCAAGCATCTGTCTCAAATTCTGGAAACTATAATTGCCTCAATGCCAAAAAGCAGCATAAAGCACATTAACATCCTCTACAATAACCATCACGATGCTTCAAGCATATTTCTACAAAACTTGGTGCCTATTTCAGCTCTGTAATTCAAACCAAGGCAAATATATATATATATATACACAAATAAACAGCAATCATTCCTAGGCTCCAAGCCAAAAGACACAATCCAGAATATACAGTATCAAAAGGGAAAATTTTGAGCAGAAATAGCAAAAGGGAAGCAAACCCACAAGTAAAAACTTTTCAAATATCCGTTTGGTTATCAAAAGACATTGACAGAATTCCCGCCGGGGGGGGGGGGGGGGGGGGGAGAACAAAAGGCTTGGTAAAAACTAAAAAAGAGCAAAAGGAGCCAATTTTCAGCTTCTTTCTTTTGGGTTTCCTTTCCCATCATCTCTTTACAAAAACCAAAGCCAATAAGAATTCAAGCCAAATAAATTAACATATTGAAATCAAAGTTTCATTCAAAATTGCTACTTTTAAACCCAAGCACAAGGATAAGCTAGAGCAAAGTCCAAATTCCCGAGACAAATGTATGAAAACTGGATCACATAACAACCCAAAAAGATTGAAAATTGAAGAAAGAGAGGGAGGAGCTAACCTACGGAGCCAGTTGAGAAAAGCTTCCCACAAACCCATTAACGATGAATCTTTGAATTCGCCCAGAGAGATAATAGACTGAGAGAGAGAGAGAGAGAGAGAGAGAGAGATCTATAAACACACACACTCAGCCTTTATATTATTGGGAAGCTTTCCCTCCCTGGTTTGGTTTTCCTTCCTTTCTACCAATCCCACTTTTTCATAAATACAAATTATATGATTGCTCTGTCCCCTCTGTCTTTGTTTTTGATCCGAATTCCAAATTTAATTCTACCCGGTACCCCAATGAATGAATCTGTGAGAATTTGCTTGTCTACTGTACAGTGAGATCTTGGCCGTCTAGATATGAAGTGGGACCCGATTTTACGGACGGACGAGATTGATTTAAGACTGGCCAATCGGTGGCCGTACGTGCCGGTTACGAGGACCAATCAGATGAAGATTCCACGAAGGGTTTTACTAACCGTGCTGTCGGTAGTTGCGAGTGAATAATACGGACCAATGGGAAGGTGGCTTGGTTTGACGTGGCGAAATATTAGTGGATGTAAAGCCGGTTGTTCAGCATATAACTGTTGTTATATATGCGCGGGCTGATGTCGAGGAAGTTTCGAGTGGCAGAGAGAGGCAAATGAGGCCACCCGGTTCAGTTGTCTTGTATGTGTTGGCTTTTTGGGACTAATACTTACGGCTCAAAGCACAGCAGGTACTGAGAGCCCATTGTTTTGGGATTCATCATCCAGGCCATATAGTTGCTGTCGATGTTATTTTCCTTTTAATACAGCTGCCAATTTTTCTTCTTCTTCTTTTTTTCTTCTCATTTTTGTTTGCAATTGAAAACTTCATCAATAAAAGGCTTATTTATTGTAGGACCCCTGAAACTTCGGTCAAATCTCACTTAATCCTCATAAAGTTAAAATGACCAACTTAACCCCATTGACCGTGGGTTTGTGTTCCACTTTCTCCATACCATTAACGCCATCCAAAACTATGTTAAATATGATGACGTGGCATGGGCTTTTTGGTAATTTCATCCATATGTCCCCTTTTAAAATAATTTAAAGAAAATTTTATAAGAGGTTAAATTAAAATAAAAATTAACACCACCACCACCCCGTTAGCAAACCCAACCGCACTAGCCCACCCCAAATTCAAGCCCTATCACCATCGCAATCTAATCTCAACCATCGACGCCCAACTTTAAGAACAAGCAAGAATCAAGGGGCATATCATCCAAATATGCCGCCCCTCAATCTCTCTCTTTTTAACTTTTCTTCACAACCTCTCAATCTCCTCTTTTGGACTATGGTGAGGGGCCTATGTTGTTGAGTTGTGGGGATGGGTCACCTGTGATGGGAAAAAGAGATGAAGAGGAAGGGATGGTGCTGCCCCATCTCTCCTATTTCGCTCCCACTTCTCCCTTAATTGACATGCTAATCTCCTAAAAGGAGATAGCATAGATATGAGGTTTTTTGCTTTTGGGTTCTGGGTATTCATGG